ATTACAGTAAAATGTATTTGTCTTTACTAACTCTGCTATTAGTCCCCAACGGCAGTCGTCAGAGCTGAACACCTGCACACCTCTACGAAAATAACTTATTATATAGTTATGTAATCGATTTACGCCATAATACATTCATAATTATGTTTATGATTTCTCAATAACACACCGATATCTTATACAACTTGTTTATGTTCAACAATGCTCTTAAAATATTCACAAATAACTATTACAGGGAGTAGACCGGATAAAATCAAAACTGATTTTATTTACAATGAAGCCGTCGACTGTTTAATGGTAAGTTGAAGTGTTCATCGACATAAAGCTTCTCAAATCCGAGTGGAGTTGAAGGGAAATTTGACCATTAAAATATCCTTTAATGATTACAAAAACAAATACACATTTACTCTGCAGCTGATCCTGCAAACTGAACACCTGCGTATATCTATAAATATAACGAATTATATAGTTATAAATATCGATTAATGTCATTAGACATTCGTATGCTTATGATTTCAACAACATTTGCCGATTAAAATTATTTTATTAACTGCTGAACTATGAGATTGCCTCTGACAATCATTTAAAAGTGACAATAAAAAAAATCAAGCACAGTGTAAACCAGCAAAGTTAGAAAGTATCAAATTGAGGTACTGTATTTACAAATAAGCGTCAAAGCGTTCATTCGAAAGTGATTTCATTCATAATAATTTCTGTAGACCTGTGACCTCTCCGTCCCTTCAATGCTCTGATTACATTATGCCTATACTCTACTGTACTAGTCCTCTCGAATAAAATCACTTTCAAATTAACGCTTTGATGCTTATTCGTAAATACAGCACCTCATATTTAATACTTTCTAAATTTGCTGGTTTACACTGTGCTTGGTTTGGACTGTACTGTAATGATTTGATCAATTTTTTTTAAAGATTTTAGGTGTTTTTGTTAAAATATACGAAATCTGCGAAAACACAGTTTCCCGGCAATTAAAAAAAAACTGTTGTGCCGAATTTTTTTCCCGTTTAATATGTTACAGTGTATACAGATAAAAAAAAACACACATCAGAGTGAAACCAATACCTTCTCGCTTTGCATCGAAGCTAAAAAATAATTTATGCCTAGAAAATTGTACAAAAAAGGTACTTTGAAAATAAAAAAATAAAAGATGCTACTACTTTCTTAAATCGACGATTTCGATACGTTGATAATTAATTTAATTGTTTAATAGTATATTTTACTTTTTAAATATTATAAATTCCCTCTTTTAGGAAATGTTATTATCAATATTATTTGTGTTCGGTTTTCTGATTAACATAATAGCCTAATAGCTTACTCATTGCACTATTAACGGTGATAGTCACTAACTAGCGAATTTTGAAATTACATATCATGTACAAACAACACACGTTGGTCCCAAATGTTTTAAGATTTTTTTTATACCTTTCAAAAATATTGAAAACAAAATTCGATAATCCCGTGTCGTTTACAATTACAATGGTGGCCCGTAGGAAACTACGAGTGTTTAGGGTAGACTGAAAATGATTAATACCTACTTAAACAAAAACACCAAACAAGAAAAGCCATCATTATTTTTAATTTATTTAATTATTGAGTTGCAACTGTTAGACATGCAACATACTATTTTATTTACATTTTAGTATAGTGTAGTAATTTAATTACTTATGTTTTATTGTAGACATTGCAATCGAATAGCTATGTTGTTCTATACTTTGAAGTTTCAGCAATGAGAAAATTATTTGAATAAATAATTGTTATTATTATATTAATTACACAATACGACAATTCCATGCGTTTTTTACTTAAGTGAGTTAAATATTATTTGAATAATTGGTCATAATTAAAATAAAAGATATTAATATTCATATTGATCAATATTCATATTGATCAATTATAATTTAGAATACAATACAATGATAAATAGGACATTACAATTGATTATTCAAAAAAGTTAACACACACATCATATTATAACAAAAAAATATAAATATGTGTAAAAAAAAAAATCAATTTCAATAATTTGATGGTCAATGTTTCAATTATACAATTTAATTGAAGGTTAGATTTTTGACCGATACTATCTGCGTCATAACTCCAGTTTATCACTTTTTTAAATTTTTCTTTTGGTTCGACTTGTTTTAACTGAATTAAATTGCTTAAAAAATACATGCATTAAATGTAAACTCTTTTGATGTTCACGTTTATGATGAAGAATCAACACGAATTATATTACCATGGACGATGCGGAACCTGTACTCACAAAATTTAAATGAACAGAAATGGGAATAAACAAATCCATGACATTTAAGACATAATCATTAAAAATATTAGTGATTGTAGCCACTTTCTAACCATAGAAAATGCTAGACCCATCCTCCATTGTTAAAGATGGTAATTTTTCAAATAATTTCCCATAATAATACACGAGGACTTCGTATGTCCTTATTCCAATGATTAAAAAGTTTTTACTTAGCATATATCACTGTACATTTATTGCATTGCAATTGTCAAGATATTTTAACATTTTATCTAAAAATATAAAAAAAAAAATAATAATAAAGATACATTATCGATACTACAAAATGTTTAATTTTGTACTAATAATTTTCAACTTTTAACTAATGATAAAATTCTAAAGCATGTTAAATCTTTTTAAAAATATAAACAATTTCTAGAATTTTATTTATAGTTTTTAAATGTAATTGCTTTATCTCGGTAAAATAATATTTATTTTACCTCGAATGTACCATTTAAAGAATGTAAATTGTAAAAATACATTAAAAATTGTATATTATACAAATGTCTATATTTATATAAGTATTTTAACGTCAAGTAAATATGTCGTTAGATTTATGAACATATTATTAATTTAAAATTGAGGTGCACTAAGTACAAAGATCAACTATGCATAGATTTGTAATTAATCAATGACAAATATAAGCTTGTATTACCTTTCTTAATTTTAAGTTTTATTATCCTGCCACTAATTCTTATAGCCGAAACTAAATTTGTTTTCAGCGAAAGCTACAATATATGAGCAAAATTCATCTGTCTATTGAGCACTATAGCCACTTTCGATATAATAAATATGGTAGTTTTTATTAATTTAGTTGTTTTTTAATTATTATTTATTATAAAGTAAGATGCAGGATTCATGCTTACTATTAAATATTTTTTATTACAACAAAATATGCTAAGTTTTTAAATATTTGTTGATAAAAGCATCATCACGTTTTTTTTTTCACGGAATAAATAGGAATTTTATATTTTTTTCCAATAACTACCAAATGGGGTCTAAACTCATATATTTCGGGCCCAGAGCGCCGCTGCTCAAAAACGTACAGGCGTTGGCTATCTATTTGTATTTAATCAATGGTACATTTAAACATAACAGTTGACTCTATCCAACAGCTGACAACAACAGTAATACGGAGAACCACTGAAATTTACAATATTTAGCCACGCCTATCGGTCTTCAAACGTTCACTTTTTTTGAGCCAGACTATAACAATACTGAAGTTACTAATTGTGTTTTAAACCCACAACGGCGCAGCGCATAGGTACCATCATATTGTCATAGGTCAGCAACCAAAAAGATGATTGTTACTCTTCAACAAGTAAGTTTTATCATATAGATTAAAATCAAATTTTTTAATTAGCACTAAAATTCTTCAGGTTAAAAAAATATGATTATTGACACAAATGTTATATTTGCAGAGAAATGTTCTCACTGATTTCGCTACCGCTTGACCATCTTAATATGTTAATATCAAGTTAAATAATTAACTAGTAAATTTTACTATCGTTAACTTGACAATATTAATTATTATTACACTTTTAATACGGTTATACAGGTGGATCAATTTGTCGTCATTTCACGACACTTTTTGAGTAATTTAAGTTTTAGAGATTTTACACTATAAGGAATGTATTATATTATTATAAGAATATAGGAATAAATTATTTATCTCGAGTAGTGGTGATGGGTTAAAATATTAAAGTATGCGCTCGGAACCACTAGATATTTTAATAAACAACTTTTCTTTTTTTCGGTTCTTTCAACAGAATACTTGCCGTAATATGTTTGGCTTACAACTAGATTTGGTTTTTTCTAATGAGATGAATACAAGTGTTCAGTTAGGAGAATTGTACCCAGTACCTTCGAATGATTATTATCCCGTGTTAAATATAGTTACCCAGTTAGCAGTTAAAGCCAAACAAATAGTAATACACCCATTGAACGCTTTAATTTTATAAAGACCGATTACGGCGCAATTGTTAGGTCACTAAACCTTATACAATGGGATAACTTATTTTCAAAAAAATGTATTAATACCGCATTAAATTATTTTTATTCAGTCCTTAGTACTGTTATACACAACAATGTTCCACTTTATCATGCTAGTAAGCATAATAATTTTCCTACCTGGTTTAACAACGAATTACGCAGTCTAATAGGTGAGAAAAACAAAGCACATTGGCTATGTAAAATAACTAAAAGCGCTGTTGATTGTCTAACGTTTTCAAACTTAAGAGCTCGTTGTAAAAAAATGACAAAAAGTTGTTACAATAAATACTTAGTACAAACACAAAAGCAATTAAAAACGAATTCACGGGAATTTTGGAGATTTATTAAACACCGTAAAAATGATAATAAATTGCCCGCTATAATGAATCTAGAAAATTATCAGTCTGATAACTCAGAATCGATTGCTCATTTATTTAAAAAATATTTTTCTTCTATAGGTATGCTCCTGCGCGGGGTTCTAATCATATAAATAAAGTTGTAGTTGGTATTACCAATTTATTTGAATGCCAATTTTCACTAGCTGAAATTTTTCATAGCTTAGAACAGTTAAATGAACACCCAATACCCGGTCCTGATTTAATACGTGCCTTGTTTTTGAAAAATAGCCGCTATGCTTTAGCTTATCCAATTTATAGGTTATTTAATCGGTCATTACAGTCTGGTATTTTTCCCGATGCCTGGAAGGTAAGTTATATATCTATATATAACTTATATATATTTTAATATATATAGTTATATATATATTAAAATTGATATGAGAGGCCGCCCAGTTGTCGACATTGAGAGTCGTTGAAACTTGATCTCGTTAAAAAATAGACGTTTATACATGGATACACTTTTTATTTTTAAAATGTTTAACGGTTAAGTTGATAGCCCGGAACTCCTAGAGAGATTATCACACTAGTAGTGCCTAGTGTGAACGCTCAGCATCATAATGTTTTTTTTTGTAGAGTATCGGTTAAAAAAATTATGTTATCAAATAGTCCTTATGTCGAATGTTAAATGTACGTAATAAATAAATTGTCCGATTTTGATTTTATTTTGTTGATAATATCAGTAAATTAAAATTAAGTGCCTTAAATGTATGTGATTAGGTATATGTTCCAGTGTATATTATACATTATTGTATTGCACCTGTACTCATTGCCCCCTGCGCGGCATTACTCTTATAAATAAATAAATTTATGAATAATATACATTTTTTAAACAACTCCAAATCGACCAGTTAACATTTTTCGTAGATAGTTATAAATATTTCGTAGATGGTATAAAATGTCCATTTTCTTGTTATCACACTCGTATAATTATTTATTTTAGCTGTACAACGTTGTTAAACTTATTTTTTGCTTGAATTGCAGCTTCAAAATATCACTTATTTTCACTGCTTTATACTGACATCTGTGTTGATATTTTCAATACTAATAATGCAAAAGATAAAAAACAGAAGAAAAATTACTTTGGCTGCACGGATACCAGGTCCAAATGGACATTTTATTATGGGATATACACAGATTTTTGCTCAAGGAAATGAAAAGTTATTAGATTATATGTTACTATTGTGCACGAAGTAAGTAATCGTAGTTAAGTATTCATATTTTTTGGTATAACGTGATTCAGTAACATACAAGTTATAAAAAATGAGTTTGTTGTGTTTAAGATACGAGCATTCAATATTTAAATATTGGCTTTTTCGCGACCTTTGTGTTTGTGTATCCAAAGCCGAAGATGTAAAAGAAGTAATGAGTAACTCAAATTGTTTCAAAAAACCAATGATTTACTCTGTACTTAGAGATACTTTTTCAATGGACGGACTACTTACAACCAACAATATACATAATTATAAAAATGGAAGGTACAACATCATTGTAATATATTATGTTATAGGTATTACATGTAGGTTAGAAAAAAAAAAAAATACATTACAGCTGAGTATTAAAATATGGACATTTTTAAGCACAGTTTTGAATTATTAAAAGATAAATTTTTGCTTTATAGACAAAGAACGAATTTGACGATACCCGAATATTAACTGTTTTAGGAAAATCATATCTTTATGGCTAAAATATTCAAATTTAAAATCATTGATACCTATTTTTTACGAGGAATTCAAAGTTCTAGAACACATATTGTCTAAAAAAGTCGAAAACAAGTCATACGAATGTGACATAAGCCGAGCTATCGAACTAGCATCGATGGACACAATTGGAAGAACAGCGTTTGGAGAAAAATTTGATTCACAAAAAAAAGAAAATCATGTATTCCGACATAACTATGAACGTCTGGCAGAGGTAATAATTATTTGTAGTAAACTGATAGGACCATGCGAAATTTAGAAGACATTTCTTATAGATTTAAAAATAATCGATTTTTTTTTTTAACGTTCGTTAGTTAGTGCTTATCGTTGTTTCATTTTCAGATTTTCATATACAGAATTGAGCGCCCGTGGTGTTATGTTTCAAGTTTTTTTTCACTATCACCGCGAAAACGTGAACAAAGAAAGAGTCAACATCTAATACATACATTTTTAAATGATTTAATTCGAAAAAATCAAGCTGAAGGTAATGAAGTAGCAAATACTGCGATAGACGGGAGTGATGACGAGAACAGTATTTGTCAACAAAAACCAAAACCCCTAATTAAAAATCTACTAGAAAATGGACACGGAATGTCTTATAAAATGCTAAGGGGCCATTTAACTACGATTACAGTTGGTAAGTTAAACATTTAATTGTCGATTTGGAGCTAAGTAAACTTTGACATATATTTGACTTGCAATGGTTTTAATTGTATTGTTCACCTATGCATCCACGATATCTCTTAAATCCTTGAGCATCTTATCGTGTAGTAACTCATTGAACCCAAACGTACTTGCGATACAAAAGTACAAAATATCTACCTCTCCCTCATCTAGCTTTTCAGTAGCCGTTTATCATGAAATTATCATGGACATTTGATTGGGCTGGATACAAGAAATTTCATGTCACTATTTTCGCGTTACACTTTCACTCTGAGTTAGTGATAAGAGATAAGAGATTAGAAAATAATGATAACAGATAACGTATACCTATGATTACATGTTTTTCCGCGGTGCGGAGAAAATGAATAAGGAGGATATTTATTTTGATTGGATTATGGAGGAGCATGGAGGAAAATGGAGGAATATTAAGGAATTATGGAGGTGAATTAATAGAGATAATAGATTGCAGGACATATCCACATGTGTTGATGCATCTGCACGAAGTGTGGATACTCTTAACTTTTTTTTTCTAAATTTCAATTAATTTTATTGATCAATGTGATATTAATGATAAGTTGTTATTACGATATTAGCCGGACACGACACGACCGCGATAACAAATACAATCGTCATATTCATGCTGGCTCATCATCAAGATGTTCAAGAAAATGTAATTTTGACCACGATAATTAATTATTGTTACATTTTCGGTTAAAACTCATACGTTTAACCTATTATTTATTTGGAAACTAGGTCTTTCGGGAAATTAGTTCTATATTTTCGGTTGACGATTCCGACCGGCCGCCAACATACGAGGATTTACAAAAAATGGAGTACTTGGAACGCGTGATCAAAGAAACCATGCGGTTTTATCCAGCCGTGCCCATAATGGGCAGAAAAATCGAAAACGAAATGAAGATCGGAAAATACGTAGTCCCGGCAGGTAGGACTCGACGGGGAACATGATGAACATGATTTAATTTAAACGTTGGTACCCGATTAATAGTTATCAATGTTGTAGGCACAAACGTTATGGTTCCCATTTATTGTTTGCATCTAAATCCGCAACACTATAAAGATCCAAAAGTGTTCAATCCAGACAACTTCTTGCCTGACGTGTGTCGCAGTCGTCATCCATTCGCGTACATTCCATTCAGCGTGGGCTCAAGAAGCTGTGTTGGAAACAAATACGCCATGCTTCAAATGAAAATAGCGATTTCCACGCTGGTCCGGGCCTATCGTTTTTCTCCATCTGCAAAATGTCCCACGCCCAAAGATCTCAGACTATCGTACAACATGGTGCTGAAATTTGTCGATGGATGTTACGTTACAATAGATCCAAGAACATAGTCTGTTACGTTCTAATATTATTGCACACAACGTTATAATTTCAAAACGAAATTTTACTCAAATGTATTACTGTTGGACGACAAATTTTGAAATAAAGCTAGATAAAGACAAATGTCATAAAAAGTTAGATTAAAAGTTTTAGACGGAATAACTAATTTTACATTTATATGTGTACGATTTCTAAATAAAATGTTATTATATTTTACATTATTATTATACATTAACATTTTCCTAGATTTTTGTTTCCAAATAAAGCCGAAATTACTTTTACCCGTAGAAAATATTATAAAAATTAAAAATAATACCTTGAAGATTATGCAAATAACCCGAAAAATTAATTATAGTGGTCGAAATTTATTCAAACCAATTTTTTCCCTAAATATTGTCTACACATAACTCCTTACAAACTGACCACATGCAAACCACTTTGACTACGAACCTACTCGGCTAGCTTGGCTAGTTTGTGTAGATATTCTTCACTTGTTTGGATAATTGTTAAAAATTAAAATTAGTTGTATCCTTAATTGTTATATTGCTTCTACTAGTAAATTACTTCTATGAAACACTTTAAACAAAAAATATGTATGTATAAACATATTAATGGTTCATAACCCATACAACTCTATATTGATATTTACCTAATGTTGCAAAAAATAATAAAATTAAAAAATATTTTAGTTGCATGTTAGCTACATGTTAGTTATATTATGACCAAACAGTATAATAATTTATATAAATTTCCTTTCTTCTTCTATTATAGTTTATTAAAAAAACGTTTGTTATTTGAATTGGGTAAACGCACATTTAATGCGTTCTATATTCACTATAGAACGGTATACTAATACAAAATTCAAACCGATCTGTTATTGTTATTGAAATAAAATAATGTCCATTTCATATCACTAACAGGTCAGCCTACATTTTAATGTAAATGTGTTAATGACATAACGTTATTCAAAAAATTAATTGTCATATTTATTATACGTATAAATTGTTAGAAACTTCTTTGTGGCTAAAAAAATGTAATGTTTTTTTTTTTGTGGGCATCTCAAGAAGTAGTTATTTAACCTTTTAATTAAGCAGTTATAAAAAAAAAACATTAGTCGTCACAAGTTATTGAAATCATAAACAGAATTATGAATGTATTATGGCGTGAATCGATTGTATAACTATATAATTTGTTACTTTCATTGATGTGTGCAGGTGTTCAGTCTACGACTGCCATTGTGGACTAATAGCAGAGTTAGTAAAGACTAATACATTTTCCTGTAATAAAAGTACACTGATTAATTACAGCAGATAAACAAACCACGGTTTGTAGTCCTGAAATTCAGTACAAACCCGAACGTGGTTTTGTCACTTGTCAATCTCAGTAATGATTGAAAATTTGTAAAAAAAAAAAAACAAACATCTAGAATTACATTATTATATTATACTCAAATGATGTACATAATATAATTTGTTATAACTTTTGTGGTATACAAATTAAAACAATCGTGGTCAAATAAATATAAACGTCTGGTATTTTTATCGTTCTTGTTATAATATTTACTTGGCATTTTCTAGAATTATCTCGGTAGGCTAATTGGTATGAGCCGGTAATGTTGGCCAACTCTTGATGGTTTTTTTTGTTTAACATCACATGTCTCAGTTAAATAAATAATGAGTACCAACTTTTTACAAATTATTTTTATGCCAAACTCATTAATACTTATAAGGTATGTAATTCAACTAATGCTTTGCAATTGGTTAAACGGGTTTAGTTCAGATCCATATACGTAGCTATGCCATTAGACTTGGTAGGATGGAATCGAAATATATGCCAAATAAAATATTGAAAGAAATCCTACAATTTTATTCAAGTTAATAATATGTGCTAGTAATTTTTTTGTTATAAAGTGTAAACGAAAAATAAATTGGACTTCTATTATTATTATTTTTTATTTATTATAATTTACAGTAGGTATACGGAATCAATTCGATCGAAGAGTAAAAAACACACAACCATAATAAATGTAAATACCTATATGGAAACTAGAGTAAAATATTATAATTTATTAAAATGACCCAATCCACAAAAATAATACACTTTTTTTTTACTTCTAATAAATCATATTAAATTTAATATCTATTTTAGTTTCTACTCGTTAAGAAAACATGAGGAAATTGTGTGTTTTTATTATTATTTACTTCTAACTGGGCGAAACTGTTCAAGAAGGTAAAATAATACCTGGGTCGTAGTATAATTATAATTAAATGTTGTTATTTTAAGTGTGATAAAACGTCCAACTGGGTATTAAATACTAAAGCGCTACAAAGTATAAACTTTTAGCAAACAAAATGTTAATTATCATAATCCTATTATTTTGTGTCTCGCTGTATGAAAGCCGGCTAAAACGTCTAGGGCTTATTTGCATTTATATAGGTACTACAACTTGTTTATTTAATTTAACTCAGACAGTGAACAAACGACCAGCTGCCCCGGATTTAATAAATTATTACAACTACATAAGTACACAGTACTTAGAACTACATTGCATATTATTATTTGTTAATATTGTTTAGTTATAATCTTATCAATATTTTAAGATAACTTTAAATACTGTTAAGATTTTGTGAGAAGGAGGCATATTTGTTCAAAATTGCCTCATAAAGAGTTTGCCTTGATATTATGGTTTTTGTTGCTTCGATATAATATTTTAAACATTAAACGATAACCTATTAAAAGTGCACATACATGTTTGCTTGTTCTATAACACTTTATGCAAATTTTCAGCTTTTAACTCAACTACTCACTACGTTCCTACAGGTGGTATTTTTATTGTTTTCAAATTAAGCAAATATAACAACTTATATATAATATTTTTTCCAATATTAGTTTTTTATTTGATATCGTGGAATATTATGCCAGAACGCATAATGGACTTCACTGTAATAAGAAACATAATTTTGTTTTACTAAAAAAGGCGCCTAATAAGTGTTATTTTATAAACCAAAGTACAACTGTGATTAAAAAAGTCTTACAAAGTAAAACAATACTGTGATTTCATTTATTTATTTTATATTGCAATGGACTTTTTAAAGTTAATACTGTTTTCTATATGACATTTTTATTTTTAAGCATGTTAATTTAATATAGTGCATGATATTTAAAAAATAAAAATGTTACATTCCATACATAGAACAAGCGTTTTTTTTTTATTAAATAAATATAAACTTTTAATTTTAAAAGTTTCGATTAAAGGTCCAATTTTACAACTTTTAAAAAATTCTATAGGCTAAATCAAATAAAAAATTAATATTTTATAAGCTAAATCAACCCATTAAATGGTAATAAATCAGGCAAAATTATAAAGTTTTCGTTAAAAAAGAAATGTACTTAGAAAAACAGTTTTTTGTGTCTCCTGAAAAAATATATCTCCTCTATAAGTAGTTTCCCAATTATTTTCTTCTATATTTCTTATTTTTTTTTTTATGTTAAAAAAAACCATATGATTGTACCTTACCAAATTAGGATCATATAAATAAAAAAGCTACAGCAACTTATATAGGTTTCAAACAACGCAATAATATTTTATTATCGATTAAATATAATATATATATATATACCGTAATATAGTTTCATAATAATAATATATTAAATTTATATAATAATGATAATTAAATATATCAATAGAATTTTAGAAATATTAATTAATTATAATATTAGTATACATACACCCAAATGTACCAATAGTACATAATATGCTATGATCAAATGTCTTTATACAACAACAAAGGCCAATCAGATCATAGTTTTAAACATTAACTATAACTTACTTAATTTAAAAAAAAAAACTACAAGTATAATGGTATGTTCGTATTGACAAAAATCGACATAAAACAAAGTATAGTCATTTTACAACAAAACAAAATATATTATTATATAAATTAATACATAAGGTACTTTAAGAGTAATTTTATTAAACATTTTTTTAAAATTTTATTTACATGTAAACAATTAGAAATAATTATGAAACAATAATAGCTTTTAAGACATTTTTCGCACAAAAACTGAATAAACTTTCGAATTCAAAATAACACAAAAGAAACCGGATTTTAAAGTATGATTTAATGTTGCAAAAAATAATTAATTAAATAATTTTTTTTTTCATGGCAATCTTGTATGTATGTAAAAAAAGACTAGTTTAGTGGAAAGTTATTTTTTTTTTTTTCGGTTGTTATAACTAACAAAGAAATAAACGACTATCTCATTACCGACACGTCTAGAAGAAACACTAACTACATGTTTTTAATGACTAAACTACCGTCGTTGGCAATGCTAGTCATTACTATTACTAAACATCACAGCTACAAGCCATTTGTATGAGCGTATACCTATGTTAAAAGTATTACGAATTACCTATATTAACAACCGCCATAGCCTGAGAAGAGGCGGCTTTAAATACTTATTGAATACCTTAACAAAGACCGTATTGTTTTTATAGTTACCGTATTATTTTTACGACTTAATATATTATCCTATAGCGTTAGTTTAATATTATATAAAAGGAAAAAAGCACACCACGACTAAGTGTTAGCGCCTAGCTTTACGTGGTAATTCACTTAAAACAATTTTCAAACGATTTAAAAAGGCCAAAACGGGAGTTCGAGACATATGGTAGAAAAGAAGGGGTAGAGGGTGTTTTGCAAGTCTACGGGAATTGTTATAGTTGATGGTGAAATAATTGACGCAATGACATTATATCAGAGTGGATATGATGTGGGTTGATCGTTAGCTGTCAATAATAATAATAATAAGCATTTTCTAAAACTTCTTCTGCCGAAAAATAGAGAAATAAAGAAAAAGTTTCCGCCCTTTTCTGGGGAAATGTTTTATGATTTTTTCACAAGCAAGTCTAAAAGAATATTGCGCGTGGAAATTTTATGTTGAAAATGATGTACATTTTTATTTGGGTGCTGTCTTTGCGGTTTTTACTTTGGGAGGGGTGAATTGTTTTGTTTTGTTTTAATGTTAAAG